CATAAATTCAATCTTGTAATTTTCCCCATTAGCCTCCTCTAAATGCGTTCTCGTCTATCTGCACTACTCATTCCTTTAGGACTTCATTATTTTTAGAAAATGCACTGTAGCATATTTACTGGTAATTACAGAATCTTGTTTTAATTACAGTTGTCAAAGAATGTGCTTTATGATATATTATTATTGCTACTGTTTCTAATTCACAACTATTCTCCACCTTTGCAAGTGGAAATTAACATTTTTTTTTTTTTTGTAAATGATGTATCTGGATGAGTTTTTGTGGTTAGGAATGTTTTTATGGATAGTGGTAACTTCAGAAAGAAATGATTTTGGGGAAGGAAGAGAAGCGTATGTTCCTAATTATATTCGTGAGTTACTTACATTGTCCACTGAGCATGGTAGCTATGCATGCTGAAATAGAAGAAGGTAAAAATCAAAACTATTGTAATCCTGCATACATTGCATGTGAAAACGGAGAATCATTTTTATTGGGACCCTTTGCAGTGAATGAAGACAGTAGTGTTTCTGGCCACGATAATGTATGTGAGTAACTGATCCTTTTCATCCTAGGCGTTGTCAACATGGGAATGTCAATCTATAGGGCTAGACTTGGTGGATGCGTGTAGTTCACTGTAACAGTATTTCTCTTCAGAGTTCCTGAGCAGGCGTCAGTTGTGAATAGACTGCTTCACATATTGAGTCATAGTCCGTACGGCATGTGGCGTTCGTGTGAACGGGCTCGTAAATTCACACCCTAGTTTTATGTGCTAACGTGCTCATCCAGCAAACCTCAAGTGATCAAACAAACAGAAAATCCTTATCAATGTGATTGTGAACGGTAATTTTTTGAATGGCCTTTGAGATCTGCTGTCCTGTAGTCCTAGTGCATCTTGTTCAGCCTAACTTGTCAGCAATTTTTCTGTTAGATCTTCATGCTTCTGGAGCTCCTGAAGGCCATCCCGCTGCAGCTGCTTTCATTTGCCTGTTTATGCATTAACCTTTTCTTCAGAGTACTGGGGCCTGCTTGAAGGCCTGTAGACGTTTTGTGTGACCTTTTCCTTCATTCAGTGGCAAAAGAGCCCTCATTTCTGTGGTTAGCATTTCATCGGGCAAATCCCTTTAGCTTTGTAAACTCTTTCTGACAGACTCCTCCTGGAGCTGATGGCTGGCTTCACTCGCAGCCTTGGAAAAGTCACTCAGTGAACTTGGTCCTTTGGTTGCCCACCTCTCCCTTCCTCAGGCCTTCTTGGGGTGGTGGCAAGGAATGCTTACGACATGGTTTGGAAAGACGTATTTGCAAAGCCCCCAGTCCCTTTCTGTTTGATAACAGTGCTTTGTAAATTTAGTGCAAGCCTGGACTCTTTGTTTTGAAGCAGATTGTTCGTCTCTTGTCAGAACGATGCAAACTAAATAGATCTCAGGCGTATTTTTTTCTGTAAACCCAATGGATGTTAGTGAATTTGGAGCTTGGAACCTTCATCAAGGGGTAGTTGGAAACGTGGGATTTCTCGGTGTTTCAAGAGCTGATTCTGAAATCTACCTATAAACGTCTCCTCCTAAACTGAACGATAATGGTTTACCTGCCGCATCTCCTTTAGCACGCAGGGCAAGTTTCCCTTCAGCGGAAACACTTGAGCTTTTGTCACTGCCGCATCGGGGATGGTGCACGCTAAGTCTTTTTGTAGGCATCCGTTTTTCCGATGCTTAAAATTCATACCGGTGCTATTCCAGGGGCGACTCTTGAAATTGAAACCAAGATTGGCCTTTAAATCTTGCTCTAACTTTCTAGGGATTCTGAAGTTTCTGTGGTTAATATCAGATGTGTCTTTTTTGGTTTTTTACTTTGGCTTTGCCTTGGGAGGACGGGCTCCTTTTCAAAGGTGACCTTCTGAAGCTGCTTTCTAAATAACACCCAAGCAAATGCTTTGCTTATTAGAGTTACTTTGTGAAGAAGCAATGAACCTGTTACAATATCTCATTTACAACTGAAGTGCAGCATTCAGCTAATTGAATACATGGCTACTGTTAATTATTTTGTTACGGCTAATTGATATTCACTAGGTTCAATGTTGCTGCGGCCCCGTAAATATAATATTGCTTTACAAGTTTATATTTAAGCAGTGAATTCTCTTCTGTCGGCATGTTTATATTGTCTCCCATATAAACGGTGCGGGTATTTTTAAAATACTTTTTGCTGTGACTGCATTATTTCACAAATGCAAGTGGTATTAGCCATATGGATGAAGCTTCTTTTCCTGAGTTGCTTACTGACCTTCCAAGTCTTACAGCTACTGTCACAATATAGGCAACCAGACCTTTGACTGAATGTAGCATCCAGTAGTCCTATACCTTAGTGTTTTTACTTCGTCAGGGGTATGACAGCTCCATAGATTCAGGGCAATGAGCAGTGTGAATATAACTCGTTGCTTGGCTCCCGTGCACAGTAAAATCCTGCTGTTTGCTAATTGTCTTGGGAGGAAAACAAAACAAAACAATAAACTTGCTAGGGCAAAACTTGAATTTAGATTGATATCCCTGGAACTGATGCTACTGCCTTCCTCCACTCATGTATCTCTTGTATGTATAAATTTAGTGATGACATATCATGAAACACATCCGTCTCTCTATTTTGAAGTGTATTTGATTGGCAAGCACAACACAGATGAAAAGAATTTCAGTTCAGAGGCACGTGCAGGTTTTCTGGAGTGTTTTGCCAATTTATTAATTTTCTATGGGCCCTCTTCACTGGGACTGTCTCAGAATTAATTGCATCTATATCAGGTACAATTGCAGATTAGTAGATGCAAATCTTACAAGCAGTTTTTTCTCATGGAATTAGTTCCGTACCTACCTGCATTCAATTTTTTCTATAAATGTTAATGTTTCATGGCACTCTAAATCTATTTATGCTATAATTTCATCTAGCTCTCGCTGCATTTCTGCTGTTGATCCTCATAATAGGATGACTTGCAGATGCAGCGTCTTAACTGAGCCAACTTAAACTGACACTGTAGAAGAGACTGAGCAGAAGCACGCTTCGCTGCTAAGAGTACCTCATGAAAATTCTGTAAAAAATCAAGGTTCTAGAGGTTTTGAAGTTACTTCTTATAATAATATTTTCTGTTTGAGTTCTTCATTATATAGCTATTTAAGCAATATACTGTGAGATCTACAACTTTTAAATTAATCAGTTCTTTTCAGTTTTCCTGGCTTCCATGTTCTGTATTTCTTTTTTTATGGAAGATTTTGGGTAATTTGTTATGTCCTATAAAGTTTCTTATTTGTCAATACTTAGGGCAGTTTTCTAGGAAAATTGTTTTTTTCCTAGATGTCAGTCATTGAGACTTCATCTTGATCGAGCTGCATTTCCTTGAAAGCTTTCAAACGCTTCTGCAAATCACACCAAAGTCAGCTTTAACTCGCCTCTTGCGTTTTAATTCAAAAATTCAGATGTCTGCATGTTACTTTTTTTTTATATAGACCAGATGTGTAGGTATCAGTGTTGGTTTTTAATGCAGAAAGCAATCATGGCAACAGCACTATTTGAACATTAAACTGTGGTTAATGTGGATGGAGCCCGTGTGAAGTAAATTTTATTATGAATGGACCTTAAATTGCTCGGCACGGTAAGGACTACCAAGTGGAGTGCTGGGGAGCTGAGTTAAAAATACTAGCCACCTAACATGAATAAACCGTAATTTGTGTTTAGAAATGATACAGAAATTATGCAGAAGAGCTGCAAGCTTTTCCACAAATTGGAAATACAGCTGTAGCGTAGTGCAGTCTTCAACTGTGCTATGAAGGAATTGAGTTAAAAATATGAGATGTTTGTAGCATCATTATGCAAGAGGTTTGGAGGGGGATTTTTGGATTGAACCTAGTGGAGTTTGTCTGCTTCGTAAAGTGGTCTGAGGCAGTTTTGAAAATTGCCTCTTATTCTTCTGCTCCTCATCCTTATTGAGGAGAAGAGGGGTCAGATAATTTCTGGCTGTTGTTTTCTCCGGATGAGGTGCAGAGAACTGATGCTCATTGATCGGCTGGAGGAAGCAGAGTGAAGGGTTTGTGACATGGTACCTTTTCATTGCCTCCATCGTTACTGCATCCAGTTTGACCTTTTGAGTCTTTGCACCCTGAAGCTTTCCGCTGCTGCGCATCTTCAGAAATGTGGAGGAGTGAATTCCGTTACGATGCTTTTGCTCACTTCTTTAACTATAACTTACTGGCTTTCCAAAGTCAGTTTTGTTGCTTGATTTCCAGTCATCGATACAATCCTGTGAAACGCTATTGAATTCCAAGGACTGAAACTTATAAAATTACTGTGAGCATAGTGGAACATTCATTTTACGTTTTCTTTTGTCCCTGACCTATTTAACTGTGCTTGAACAAAAGGAACGTTCTTGAGTTTGGAAATATTTCAGGATCATGAGGGTTATTATCATGCATAGAATGATCACATAGGGTGAACTGGGATAATAACACATTGTAGCATTTTATTAGATATTTGTAAGGGAATGATCTGGGGAGGCACAACCTGCAGTCAATTTTCAGTTGTTTAGATAGCCAGGGCAAGAGGCAGATTTGAGAAATGGTACAGGGATTATCTGGAAAAAGCAAAAACAGGGTCAATAAAAAGCGTGGTAATTAGGTTGTAGGATATTTAGTGTAATCAGCTTTGGAAAAACCTGTAATCAGTTTTCTGTAGAGAATAAAGGCTGATTTAAATGATTGTGGACAGGCCAGTAGCAAATGCTCTGCAGCACTATACTGAAGAGAGGATGGTTGGGAGAGAGCCAAAGCCAAGTAGAATTAAAATTTGGCTGTGTGCTTTTCAGATGGGGAGGGATATTTTTAGTGAAGTTTCATGAAAAGAAAATCTTCTGTGCAGTTTTCTGCATTGTTCTAGATTACAGATGTGCCCAGCATGCATGCATTTCTTTATCCTTTATAGTCACTGTTATATGATGAATTTGACTTGGCTTTTTTGATTTTGCATGCTTCAGGAGATAGAACAAAAGGTAAGTAGTTAAGCAAGGAACAACTGAAGAAACAAAACTTTTATTTTATTCTTACAGTATTTACACGAGAAAAAAAAAAAGGCAAATAGAATTAGTATCCTAATCTTGACAAAGAGAATTAAGCCCTATATCCATACAAGTATAGCACAGTGTCTGGTGTAAGTAAGTTTTCTGACATATCTCTGTGAGTGTAACTTGGAAATTTCATCGTTAGTAGTAAGAAGGTACTGTGCTTTCCCATCTCACGTGGTACTGCTATAAAGGGAACTTTTTACAGTGGGCTTTGTGGCATTCAGTACTGGGTAAAAATAATATGTTAGAGATAAATAACTAATTCTGTGCAGGCTACTGTAGTGGTGACCACTGATATTTAATTGATTGTTGTTCACTAAAATATTTTATTTTTAAATTATCATGAGCCTGGGATGAATTTGTGCTGATCTTTTAGATGTGAAATTCTCCATAGCTTTTTAAAAATCATGTGTCAGATATTTCCTTAGAAGGACTTGTAACTCCATATGTATTTTCTTTGCATGTGTGCCCTTTTAATGTGTTTTATGATTCTTAATGAGTGCTATTAATAATATATATTAGTACATACTTCAGATGAAAAGCAATAGCATGCCAGTTTGCTTGGTAGTGATGAAAGTAGGGTGTCTTACATGGATACTGAAGTCTTAATAGTATTGAAAAGACAGATGTCCGGTAGCATAAAATAATGCGAAAGCGGCTTGATCAACGTGATTGATCTGGTAGTAAAAGTGTTTCAGCTTACTTAATGGATGCTTCAGCCATTCAAGGAGCTTCCAGAAAAATAACCACAAATTAAAAAGGACAGCGGGGTTTTGGATGCTTTTACAAATATTGTAAGCATCTGGCTCTTTCCAAATATTCAAGTGCTTGGAATTAGGCACATGCTAAATGCATTCCTAAAGTGGGATTTTAGGGGGAAAAAAAAAAAGCAGCTGCTTTGAAAAAAATCTTTTTACTACTGCCTACAAACGTATGGATGCAAGTTTGACTATTTTGACCTTCAAATCTCCACTTAGAAACAATCTAGGAATAAAGTTAAATATTCAGGCTCTGCATACCTTTTCTTTTGTAGCTTGAGGAAGCTTCCCGAAGTTTGGAAGTAATTTGCAAAGTTGGTGAAAAAATTTCATTTCAGCCGGGTATGCTAGGTTCTGCCTGTGTGACATTTGCAAACGCATTTGGACAAAATACAGCACAGCTGTTGGGGGGGGGAGCACAATAAACAGTCTCTTTATATTTTCAATGCAGCAATCATCTTCTTATTAATGTACTGTTTGACAAAAACTAATAGACAGCAGTTCTCAGTCGCTGTGTACTACTTACTGGTATAATTTATAGTAGATGTTTTGCTTTGCAAGTGATGCTCTTTCGTGATCCGCTTTTATCTTTCTATTTCTTTTTTTAGGCCAAGCAGCTGGAAGAGAAAGACAGAGAACTGAAGAAACATGATGCTTACTACAAGGAGCAGCTGGCTCGACTGGAAGAAAGGGTAAGCTTCCCTTGCCTTTTAACGAAGAGTTTTCTGTTCGTTGCTGCTATGGACTTTCTGGTTATGCTTTATTGTTAAACAAGATGTCTTTTCTAAGGACAATAAAAATCAAAGCTGTGGATAGGGGTTTTCTTTGGCATTAACTACAGCCGTTTCTGTCAAATATTGACAAGATGGAGACTTCAGCGTTGAGAATTTTGTTTTCTTACTAGCTGACTAATTTCTCATATTTGCGATGCGATTGCACAGTAATTGCATGCAGGGAGTTAATCCTAACAAGAGGTTATATTTATAGCAGTACAGATGAAGAACCAGTCTAAGTGAATGAGTATCACCAAGTAATTTAGAATTACATGTGAAGCGTGAAGTACACACTGAATTTCTGGTTCTCTTGCTGTCCAGTTACCTTCATTTGGCAGAGTTAGTTCTTCAAAAGCCATCCACCTGTACGTGGAAAAGTTTAATATCCATCTGTTTATGACATGTTTAGAGAGCACTTTTGTGGCTTTTCTCAGAGTAGACGTGAAACTAAACTATGTAGAAGTTCGATAAGCTGTGTAAAGTTCTTTAATAAGAAATATTTTTAAATATTGTTTTTATTCGTTATAGGATTTTATATAGGATTTTATTTTATATATATTTATATAAGATTTTATTATAGCATGTAATTTTCTAACTATTTACAATTGTCGTCATTGTCTACGTCCCAGCTTTGTTATAACCTTCAACCTAAATACATTTGGCTCTCCTCATCCTTCTTTCTAAGGCTACCTATTGTTGAATAATTTGTGGGGGTTTTGTCAGCTTTGACAACTGTGTTAATATGATATATATTGCTTTATGCAGCTAAGCAGGATAGAAGGACGCGAAACCCTTGTTTTCAAGGATTAGAAAGGAGAGTATGTTCCATGAATTGTCAGTGTGTGTAACTGTGATCTTAATGAGTATTTTAAACAGAGGGCATATGAGATACGCTGTCTTGGTGTTTTCACCCACCTTTTTGAAGATAACATTCATGAGGCCATGTTCTTGGCAATGGAAAGTAGTTTGAAGGGAGGAGCGTAAATTTCTTTAATGATTCTAAAGCTTAAAAATGAAGACCCTTCACAAAAAGCTCTGCAGAGTACCTTCCTTATTTTCAAATGACTGACTGGTGTTAGAGGAAAAAGCATCTGTAGTATAGCAACCAGGCTGGTCTGGATTAATTCTTAAGGCACGGTTGTACATGTGCTCTTAGTTGTTGGTCTTCCATTTTAGGGTTATAGTGCAAGTAATGTTGGAATAGTTCATGACAAAGAATATATAATAAACCGTGATTCTTTATTTAAAAGCCTACGAAAGCCCAGAGGTTGTGTATCCGGGAATCCACGCTTTTGCACCCGCAGCCTCTTCTAAGGTCATTTGTGAGTCTCAGGGGTGGTGATTTTTGAGCGGTGGGCTGGAAATAGATTTCTAAGAGAAGGAGGAGGGCCTGGGAAGGCCTACCATTGTGGTAATAACACAGCACAATAATAGACTGCTTGTTTGTTCGTAAACTTGTCCTGATTTCAGTGAAAGCTACACAGTATAAGAGTACGTGCTGAATGGCAGAGAAAAGGCGAGACCGGAAGGTAAGGCAATAGCGAGTGGAGCTTGGGGAAGTAATGTGAGGATGAAGAAATGTGCAATATTCGTCTGTCACCTGTGACAAAGAATGCTAATTAGATTCTCACATCATGCTTACATCAAATAAGCACACTTAAAAATACTTTGGTTACTCATATGTGGTATTTCTGTCTGTTGCATCACCGAGTGTCAGAGCTCATCTCTCGGATTAATTGACTTTTTGATTACTTAGCTTTTTTTCAATTGTAAGCTTCGTATTTGTGTTCTTCAGTGCTGCTGAAAAAACAATGCAGACATTGATAATAAAGGGAGACGACAACACAACAGATTAGTGTCAGCCCAATGTGCTCCTTACGGAGAAAAGTATTATACGTGTTCACTGCCAGATGAAGCCTGTCAATTTTAAAATATTTCAGTGACTGAGTGAAGATGCTCAGCCTTTTCAGGGGATTAATACAGGACAAAATAACCGTGCACCAGTGACAGCTGTGATACCAAAACATAAACAGTTCTATTCTCGAGGGCAATATCTGTACATAAATTTGGTTTATGTGCTAAAAACCTTTTGATACTTTCCAAAAAAGCAGTGATTCCCTTAACAGCTGCCAATGTTTCTAGGTCAAAGATAGCACATAAGCTATGAGTTATTGCAAACTCCACAAGAGCCAAGTAAAATGAGGTAGTTTAACAAAGGAGTTAAAGAATAACCTTCTTGTACGGTGTATCTGATTAGGATATAAAGTTATTATTTAAGAGTTCCCACATTAGACTTTGAGAAAAATTCTTCAGTGTTAAAAGAGCGTTTTCTCCTCTTGGCTTCCAGAAGATTTATGAACAATGTTTCCTATGTTTGCTCTGAGAGAAGTACTGTTTAGGTCTGGGTAATACGTAGCTATAGGAGACTGAGGTAGAGGTTTTGGGGTGATTTACTGATGTTAGGTTTTCAATTTTTTTCTTTTTCTTTTTAATTACCACTAGCTGGCATTACCTTTTTAATTGAAGCAACTGATAAAACAGATGCTGTAGTGCAGTGGCAGTGATTTTTATTGTCTGCTTATAGGTTAATGGTGCTTCTTGACAGCAGCAAAAATATAGAAAGTTAGGTAGCAGTGTTTGAATCACTGACGTGTGTGTGCCCTACATACCGTTAATTATTTATGAGATGTAATTGGCATTAGTGGTATTCTAAATGGTTAGATTTTTTTCTTTTAAAATAATGAAGCAAGCAGAAGGAAAACCACTTGAAATCCCAGACAAACTGTGCAACTTTCTACCTTGAAGAACAGTGCTGTAGCCTCTTTTCCTAACCGTCTCTCGTGTGTGTACGCACATGCATGCGTTGGTCCTGTTGTATTTGTCTTTGTCCTGTTCAGCTTCTCCATGTCCGTCATCTTTCAGTTATGCCACTCGTTTAAACGTAACTTCCAAGTCCCGGTGACTATAGATCTCTTAACCACCTTTGCATCCCTAACACGTCTGTCACTGATATGTAGGTTCTATTCACATCTCCACGGTTGCATTAATTTTGGCTGCAGAGCAGCTCACACCCTGTCGTTCCTTCACCTTGTTGCTGTTGCTTTTGTTTTAAAATGTTTTTATTGCATAGACAATCCTGCTAGGTCCTCTCCCTCTTCTGCCCGGGGTTTTGGTGGCGTGCAGACGTTCATGATGAGCTGTGTCTGTGCGTGCTTCCATAGAGAGCGAGTGGCGCAGCTCTCTCAAGTTCAAATCTTCTTCAGCAAAGCCAACTCTCTTCATGTTATGCTACTTCATGTGAATATTAAGTATCGTTATGAGAGTCATGCTCCTAGTTGTTGGAGCAGAAGGGAATTAAGAGACTGCTGTATAACGCAACTATGTAGTTTATCGAAGTGAATGTGCAAGATATGAATCCCAGTGTTAATCAGGGTAGTTCTCATTCAAGAGAAGTGTCTGTGCCTGTGAGTGTCCTAGAAATGCTATCAGTAAGGAATGTGTGTGAATATGCTTATGGTGTAAGATGCTAAAAGTATTATATACTCTTAGCCTTTGGAGGTTTCAATGTTGTGTTAGATGCCCTCCAGATTTAGAAGTCAAAGTCCCTGCCCCAGATGGTTCTTCAGGTGCAGGTGCTGGGATTTCCGTGCGGACCCTCACTGACTTTAGTGGACTTTGTGCAGGGAGACTCGTGCATCGTACAGAGCTTACTGCCGGATCAGAGCTCGAGAATACAGACATAGGTTCTCGAAATGTGATCCTCTTATCTGCATCCATTTTTTCATGACTTAAATTTTGAGGAAGGATTTGCAAATCATAGGTTTGGCACTTAATTTGAGGATCCTACTTACCACGTAGGCTGTCAAGGAGCATTAACCTTAAGGTAAGATGAGCACATACAGCACAAAGCTGTGAGCTGATGGCATATACTATAGCAGGTGTTAAATAGTATTATCCATCCTGCTTGCTACAGTAAATAGGATTTCACTATTATGATGTGTCAGGATTTTCAGAGAAATCAAATTTACTAGACACTAAACTGCCATCCTCGCTGCTGAGCAGCTTTATTCTGGGATCTTGCGCTCATACTAATCCTGTTGGTAGGAAATGCTTATACCAATTGTGCAGGGAAATTATAATTTAATGATCTCTTCCTTTTCTTTATTCGGGGCTTAGAGTGGACCACTGTGCTTGGCACTGATAGCCCCAGTGCTCTGAAAAAGAGATGATGCACAGTTCAGCTTCACAGCCAAGTATTGGCTTTTTGTACGTGTTTATAATGAACATAAGTGCTACGAGGCAAACAATGCGACTTGCACATTTTTTTCAGAATGCTTCAGAATATTGTTTACCTTCTCAAAGTCTCAGCAACTAAATAATTAGAATCTGTTTACTATGTTTTCATGTAAACTGCAGTTTGCAAGATGTAGATAACAGAGGGGGACTATTGTAAAGCAATGTAAGAACTACAGACAGTTTTATTTCCTACAATGTATCTTAGCAGCTTAAACATTTTTTTTTCTGTTTCTATTTGTTTTAAGTTATCAGCCTGTTTATTTTCCTCGATCCTGCGTGACTGTATCAGCAAGAATTTCGTAACCAGCAGATGATTCTGCCCCCACCTCTTGCGTTTAGAAGTTTGTATTCGGTAGAGTAAACGTGTTTTCTTCTCTCACGTTTGGACAGCGTTCATTCGTGCCTTCCAGAATCAAACAGCGATGATAAAAGTGCAGTGTTTCAAGACTTCAGGCTGGATCCAGTTAGGTAGAAAATGGTTTTGGTCGATGGTACGAGGTACTGTGCGTTTAGGTGAGGCACTAGGAGAGCTCAGCAAACGTTCTCTCGTTGTTCCCCTGACGTAAGGAACTTACCTCTAGGACAGAGCTGACGGATCAGCTAAGTTGCACTCATTCAATTCA